TGCCCTACTGCTGCTGTAGCAAATGACGGCAAACCTACGGGCTTTAAACAACACGCATGTATTGCCTGACAGTTCTGGAGGTCAGAAGTCCAAAATGGCCTTCCATTGCCTGAAATCAAGGTGTTCTCAGAGCTGGCTGTTTCTGGAGACTCTCAGGGAGAATCCGTTTCCCTGTTTTTCCAGCGTCTAGAAGCTGCCACGTTCCTTAATCCATGGCTCCCATCCCTCCATCTTCACAACCAGCAATGGCAGTTTGAGTCCTTCTCACATCAAATGCCTCAGGCTCTCCTGCCTCCTTATTTTACTTCTAAGGGCCTCTGGGATGACATTGGGCCCACCCAGATATACCAGGAAAATCGCCTCACCTCAAGATCCTTATTTATGTAGAAAATGCACAGGTCCTAAGTCTATATAATTGAATGAATCTTGATACATGTTCGTAATCATATAGCCAATACCCCATTCAGGACACAAAGCATTTCCATCACCCCAGGCTCCCTTCTGTCCCCTTCCGGTCGATGTTCGTGCTCTCCATGAACAGCCACTGTTTTCTTCTGACTAGTTTTGACCATTGCTAAACTTCACATAAATGGACTATTACAGTATCCTTTTGTGTCTGACTCCTTTCACTTAACACGGTGTTTTTGAAATTCACCCCTGTTATGTGAGTCAATGGTTCATTCTGTTTTATTGCCAAGTAATATTCCATCGTAAAATACACCACAATTTTGAAATCTATTCTGCTGATGGACACATCACATGGCTTGGTTCCAGGTTGGGACTGGGAGAGAACAAATATATATATATATATTTGGGGGGAAGATCCTTATTTAATCACATCTGTGAGGTCCACGTTGTCATGTACTGGAACATATTCCCAGGTTTGGACCATTAGCACATGCACATCTTTGAAGCCATTATTCCGGGTGCTTCTCCTAATCTACCTACTTTGTCTCTGAGTCTTGCCCCTCTCAACCGTGCCGAGGACTTAGTCCCCTAATGACTGTATGTTTTGCCACGGGCCTCTAAGGAGCTTAGCCTTCACTCAGCCTCTTTAGCTTTGTCCTGGATCAGACTCCGACACCAAAACCCAATTTTAGAAACTGACCTCTCACCTCTTTCGTTGGAACCAAGCCCCCAGCTTTGGACTCCAGGCCTACTTCCTAGATTCTAGAGTGAGCTGAGCCTGAGTCCCTGCCTGGAACCTCAAGTCCTTTAGAATTAAGTGCACCTGCAGAGGAACAGGCCTGCCCCATACTCTGGGCATCACGGCCGGGTCTGTGCTGTGCGGATGTCAGACCACGCGGGAAACACACTTGCACACTTGCCGGGGTGAACTTCCTCCCCTTGCTGGTGACCGTACCCCTGGGAGGCTGGCTCCTCCGTGGGCTCAGCCGCCAGTAACCGGACCTGGATTGACTTCCGTGCAGGAGTCAGTAAAGTCTAGCTCAGTATTTCTCAAATTCTGTTGCAGGGGATTAGGATTACCTGGAGAGCCTTAAAATGCCTCACTATCCAGCCTGTACCGGGTACCAACTAAAACAGTCTCTGGGGGTATAAACCAGCATACTTTGAAAAACCCCATCAATTCCACTTTGCAGGCAAGATCAAGGACAAGTGAACCAGCAATTTACTGCTCCACGTGTGCTCTGCCTACCAGCCGATCAGCCCCACCCGGGAGCTTTTAGAAACACAGAGACTCCAACCTATAGCCACAGACCTACTGCATGAGGATCTGCGTTTCAACAGTCTCCCCTGAGTGGTTTTGAAAAGCTCTGGTCTAGTCCATCCCACTCTGTCTGAGCTCTCATTCTGAACATGTTCATAATTGCAAAATTGAGCTTTTTTTTTTTTGCCTCTTAATTGGAAAATGTAGTCGTATTAAAAGAAAGTGGAAATAATTCATCTTTGCTGAGCATTTAACATGGGCTAGGCAGAGTGCTGGTGATTCACACACATCAGCCCATTTAATTCTTAGGACAAACCTCAGTAACACCTTCCCAGGCTGCCCCGTCAATGCTTCAGTCCCCATTTTCTCTCTCTGAAGTCTGATGTTTCTTTATATGTACACACATATGTATGTGTGTATATACATATAAGTATGTATATATATACATATATAAAAACATGTGTATGTATACACACATATTTTTTACTTTTTTCTTTCTTTTTATTTTAGAGAGAGAATGAGCAACAAGTGGCGGGCGGGCAGAGAGAGAGAATCTTAAGCAGATTTCATACTCGGTGTGCTCCATCCCAAAACCCTGGGATCATGACCTGAGCCAAATTCAAGAATCTGACGCTTAGCCAGCTGAGCCACCCAGGCACCTCTTTACTTTTTTCTGTATTAACTGCCAGGCTGAATGTTCCACAAACAAAGATCAGGACCATAATATGTCGGTCTTCCATGATCTCCACTTTGCAGATGAGGGAACTTGGCCAAGATGTTGCTTTCAATATATGAGGGGGAAGACAGTGAGCCTTCTCTGGGCCCGATCAAAGCCCTCTGTCACTACCTCTAACACACACACCATCCTTCACCCTTTCATGAGCAGAACACAACTGTATTTTCTGCATGCTGCCTTCTAGTTCCTATTTGCATGAGTGCTTATTTTATATAATGGCAATTAGAACACCCATATTGTCTAGAATTGTGCTTTTCTCACTTAACATATCACAATGCTTTTTGCAAACTTTAAGTTTTATATTTTTAAAATACCTACACAATAGCTTATCACACTGATTTACCAGGAACTACTTAACCATTTATTACTTAGCATTTAGGTATTTTCACTGTTTTATTATTTATCGGTAACTTTGAACCAAGCATCTGCGGGTACTTACTTGAGCTGAGTTTCTATTTTCTCACAAAATGTAAACATTCTTATCTTGTTTTCAGCTTGAATGGGCCACCCCTGAACTTTCATGCTGCTACAGCTAATTTATCCAAGCATGCTAAAGAAAGTTTGTTACTGCAACTGCTTTTTATTTATAGAAGACACCCAGAATTGTGACATTTTTACTATTCTATCTTATCCCACCTTGCTCATTAAATCAGTTTTGGAAATTCTTTCACTTCATTATATCTGCTTCATTTTGAGCAATGACAAATTGTGCCTATTTGCCAATTGTGATGTTTCCAATTCACTCCCCAAATGTGTTGGCCCTTTGCTTCCTCACATCACAAGTGAGTTCTCTGTCTGCTGTTCAAAGATAAGGTCTGACTGGAGTCTGACCGGAATTTCTAGGAACCCAGGACATAGGGAGACAGATTGACTCCTTCTGATTCGGCCTGCTGCTTTTGACTTCCTCCGTGGTCTCCATGCAGTGACCCCGAGAACTCTGGACCAGACCAGACCTGGAGTCTAGTTCTCCAAGGGACCTTTGCTCACTTTCGGATCTTAACCCATGAACTCATTACCTTATCCCACACAAGTCAGACCCATCCGCCCCACTGCTGCTCTGCGGAATCTTAACAGAATTTGGAAGATCATCACAGATAACTGATGCACGGAAGACACTTTAAAAGACATACTTGTATGTGTGTCCAAAGTGATTTCAGTGCCGAAATACTTAGAGTTCTGTGTTTTCATATTTGCATGTTTAGTACTCGATCAGTTTTTAGATACCGAATTTACTTAATGATTTATTTGATGAGTACTTTAATACTTAAATATTCTAATACTTAAAACAACTGTATTTTAAACTTGGTACTGTGAAGACTACTTTCCCACCCAACCATGTTGCCTCTTTTTTTTTTTTCTCAGATCTTTTAAAAGTAATCTCCACACCCAACATGGGGGTCAAACTCACAGCCTCAAGTTTAAGAGTCTCCTGCTCTCCCACCTGAGCCACTCAGGCCTCCCATAACAAATCCTTTTTAAAGGGTCCAATTCTACCTTTTTGTTCCCTACCTCTATGATTTTTAAAAAAATAATCGCTAATATAATAATTTACTCATTAAGTGCTTAAGGAAGTGTCTTTAGGAAAACTGGAATTGCTAGAGGTGTCAAAGTGATTGACACGGTGAGATAAAATTATCTCCCTATCAGGCAAAAAAAAAAAATGCACAAAGAGAACTGGGGAAGGTACTAAGGGGTTTTTATGATCTCCTGGGTTTACACTGTGAGAAAATGAGATCTGCAAAATGTTGTGAATACTTTTAATAGAAAAAAATCAGAGGAAATTAAAAAAAAATTTAACAAGGACCAGATGTAGTTAAAAAAAAAGAACAAAGCAGTTGAACTCCCGTGTTAAGACTAACTTGCAAAAAAAAAAAAAAAAAAAGGGACATCTTTTTCCCCCCGCTGTAAGGGTAAGCTAATAATTAAGTCCACTGACCCTTCTTGCCTTCCTCAGACAAAGTGGGAAACAAGTCACAACTCATTTTCAGAAAAATCTTCACAAAATCCTCTGCCAACAGCCGAGGGAAGAGGCTGCTCAGCTAAGCCCCAGGCCCGTGCCGGGAAGGGAGGCTGGCGGCCAGGGCCCGGCGACCTTGCGAGGGAGGGGACGCTGGTCAGCTACACTCGGTGGCGTTCGGGAGGCGGAGGCCCGCGGCCGGCCGGGGGGCGCCGGGGGGCGCCGGGGGGCGCGGGGTGGGGGAGGGGCGGGGCTGGGAGGTAAGGCGTCTCGGCGGCGGCGCATCCTCCAGGCCCCCGGGCCCGGCCGGGGCGCAGAGCCGCGGAGTGGCCGGGTTGGCAGGGCAAATACTTTCCCGGAATCCACTCGCCCCGACCAACTTCAGCCGATTTTCTCCTCCCTCCCAGACACTTTCTCCGCCCACCTCCCCCGCTCGGAGGGGGGTCGCACCCCCGAGTCGGGACGCTCCGGGCACCGCGCAGGGCGGACGGCCAGCTGGAGTGGCAGGTCCCCGCGGGTCGCCGGGGCCGAGCTGGGGGCCCCGTGGGGGAGGGGTCTGCGCGGGCCGGGGCGGGAAGGGGCGGGCGCGGCGGAGGTCGGGGGGGTGTGTCCGAGGGGCCGGCGGGCGGGAGGCCGGAGCCGGGCGGGGAAGGACGGGCTCGCGCTCTGCGGAGGGACCCCGCGCGTGGCTGCGCCTTCCTCCCCGGAGCCCACCCGAGCGGCGGCGGCGAGATGCGCGGCGGCGGCGCGGGGCTCGCACTCCTGGTCTCGCTGCTCTGGGTCGCCGCGCGGTGCCAGCAGAGAGGTGAGCCCCGGCCCCCGGTTCCCGGCCCCTCGGCGGGAGGGGGCGGCTGCGGGACAAAGCCGGCCGCTTTGCCGCTTGTTGGGTCGCTGCGCTCATCCTCGTTCACCTCCGGCCGGGGGGCGGGGGGTGGGGATAGCGCACGTGGGTCTCCCGCGCGGCCCCTGGAAAGCGTCTCCTGGGCTGGGGACGCTCCCCCCCCCCCACCCCCCGAGACGGACGCAGCCCGCTCGTCCGACCCTTGGGCTTGAAACTCCTTGGGCTCGGGGGAGGTCCCTCTGTGTTTTGTGCGATCCAGAGCGCCGCTGACGCTTGCGGTGCGGGGACGGCGGGAGTGGGCCGGGGGGTATGGGAGGGGGGAGATGCGACCCCGCAGCGGTCTCCAGCTCGCAGTCCCCGGGCTGCTGGCCGGGCTCGGGGAATGAATGGGCAAGGCATCCTCCCGAGTCGCCCTCATTGTCCTGCGGTGGAAAGCCCGCTGGTCCGCGGCGGGGACAGGGCGGGCTCCTCGGAGCCACTCGCGGCTCAGGTGGGCTAGTGGGGACAGACCTTAGTGAGAAGCGCGCCCCCGGCCAGCTGTCCTGGACTTGGGGTACTGCGCCCCCGCAGACGGCGTCCGAGCTACAGATGCGCCTCGCCTTCCTAAAGGGCGCTTTTTGTGCACCCCCCCCCAAATTGGCCAAACCAGCCCATTCCCCGCGCGAGTTTAGGCCGCGCGGTGAGCGAGCCGGCGGCGACGGGAGGACTTGGCGTGCTCGCTCGCTGCACGAGTACAGTGGTTCCCTTGGCAAGGTTTGGGGAGAACGGAGACCCCAAGCGAATTTTCAAGGCTTCTGCTGATGCCGGGAGAGAAAGAATCCTTTCCCCTTTTGCGGTTCACTCCATTCCCACCCCCCATCCCCCCCCCCGCCCCAGGGTTAAGTCTTCCCATTGTCGCTTTTAGTTGGCTAGGAGGTCACAATATTTGTTGAATGCACCCTAATGGTGCAACGTAGGACCACGGGCACATTCCCACAAATCTACATTTCATTGAAAACAACAAAAAAAGTACAAGTCAAAAGCAGGTAGGCAGAATGCGAAACAGCCTCGTGGGAAAAATGTGTATTTGGGCATTGTGCTGAGTTGTGAACTCTACAGAAACGTGTCCGTCTCATTCATTCAGGCATTCGTGATGAACGCACTGGACCGGAGCTGGCAACACAGCTTTGAAAGCCGGCGCCTGCTCTGCCGGGAGTTGGGCTGGGACATGGAGGGAATTTACATAGTTAATACGTGCTGGAAAGGAGCTGCAGGAAAGGGCGCCGCAAGCCCAGCTCATTTCTCTGGGGTTGCTGAAAATGAACAAGTATGTCCCAGTTTCCCACTGGGTGGAGAGAGAGCAGCCTGGCTTGGTCGTATTGTTCCAAGAAATTGAAAGTTCTAGATGGAGGAGATGCCCGAATGTTTTTCTTGCCCCTGGGGGCTGCGCACTTGGCTTGGGAGGTTATGAATGGTGTTTGGAGAAAGTGGGACCCCATGGGGCTTTCCTGCTTAAGATGCTGTGGGAAGCCACCCACAGCGGGAACCTTTGAATCTTTCATCACACCGCCTTCCACATTTGCTGGTCTCCACCCCGTCAACCAAGCATGCTTCCTAACAGGCATCTTAGAGGGAGTTTTCATTTAAAAAGAAATAATTTGTGCCCTACATATATAGCAGAAATGATGCATGTAACGGTATAATTTGGCCATAATAAAATAATCCTGACCCGTATCGCTGCACAGCTAGCTCTCTGGCGCCCACATTTTTGAAAATGATCATTATCTAATAGCACTCAGATTATTAGCAGTTCTCTGTAATTTCTGCAGTCTCTCTGGATCACCTTACAACTCACAGTATAGGACCCAGTGGCTTATTTACCTTGAAATGTAACCTGTTTAAAGTGAGTTATTCCTAAATCTAAAATAAGAGGTGGTGCGTTTCTTAAAGTAACGTTGTGTTAAGTCCACAGCTATTGTGTGAATAAAAGAACGTTTACTTCATTATCAAAATGGCATAGGATTCAAATTTAGCATGTATGTACTCCACAGTAAAATACGTGCCACTTAAAGGGATTTCAAAGGCACATTTTTCTTCCCTCTGGGGCTGCATTGCCCAAGAAGGGCCAATAAAAAATTTTTTTTGATCTTAGCAGTTGGAAACAAGGATATGTGTAATAAACATTACTGCTCACCTTCTACATCTCCTGGACGTCAGCCCACTTCTTTTCCCTTCCAGACATTAAATATAAAGCCTACCACTGGAGCTAATATAACATGATGAAGAATTCAAATGACACAAAGATATGAAATAAACATATATACTGTTTTGCAATGTCTCAGAATTGTACTGCTATATAAGCAAGTATCATAAAATGTTGATATCCCCACGTATTTCAAGGTACTCATCCTTGAAACACTACCATTTTATAATCATTCATTCATAAATTCCTGTGGATATTCATCATCATCTACAGCAGATTTGGGGAGTGACAAGACGTATCTTGAAGCTTTAGCCGTTTTCTTCTCTGGCCTTACTAGCTGGGCAGAATTGGACAAATTACTTAATCTCCCTGTGCTTTGGTTTCACCATCTGCAAAATGGGAATAAATTACAGTGCTTCCCTGGAGAGGCAGTTAATGACGAAATGAAACAATGCAGGAAAAGTGCTTAGAACAGTGTCAGGTACAGGGTTAGCCCTTAAAATAGATAATCGACAAGCATCGTTGTTACTATATTACATAGAACTTATGAGGGAGGCCCTCTTCTTAGCTGTAAGCTCTGGGAGGCATAATCGTTTCAAAATTTGGAGTCGATTTGAAATCAGATAGTCTTGGGCTTAAGTACCAGACCTGTCCCTCTGGTGAGATATGACCTTGGTTAACATCTTAACTTCTCTGAATGTCAGTCTTCCTGTCTATGAAATGGGTAGGATTCATGTGATCAAATAACACATGGAAATATTGGCATGGCGTTGGGCACCTCCCGGTGTCACAGGCATACAATCCGTGGTAACGGCTCTTACTGTTGTGCCTGTCATGTATGACTGCCTCCCTTTTTCATTGCCCGCATTCATTGGTCATTAAGACTTGTTGATTTTGGGGCGCCTGGGTGGCTTAGTCGGTTAAGCGTCCGACTTTCACTTAGGTCATGATCTCACCGTTCGTGGGTTTCAAGCCCCGCGTGGGGCTCCGTGCTGACTGCCAGCTCAGAGCCTGGAGCCTGTTTCAGTCTGTGACTCCCTCTCTCTCTGACCCTCCCTTGCTTACGCTGTCTCCCTCTCTCTCTCTCTCTCTCTCTCTCTCCTAGAAATAAATAAAAAACATTAAAAAAAAAAAAGACTTGTTGATTTTACCTCCTGAAAATCTGTGTAATCTGTCTCCATTTTTTTTTTTCGTCCCCACTACTGACTAGGCTCAGGAATTGTTTATTTTTCCCATGAAATATCGGGATAGTTCTCTCACCAAACCTCCCTCCGCCCCTCTTCTCCGTTCTCAGCACTGCCGCCTCAGTGATTTTTCTAGAAACACCACCTTATGGGCTTGGGCTGGTGCCACCCACACCCCTCACTTTTTCACACATATATGCAAAATAACAGTGCGTGCTTTACCCCGGGGGTTACACCAAGGAGGCTGGGACTCTGGCTGGCCTGTGTCCCAGAGCTGAGGGCCATTAATTTTAGCCACACTTGAACCTCCTCATAGGAAACCAGTATTTCCTGGCACACAGGCTGGTAAGTGTCAGGCAAGTCTGCTGTTTCGATTCTGACATCCTGGAAAACCTTCCCGGTCCCCTGGACGCTGAAGTGTTTCTTAGGTGCTCCTCCCTGAATTCCCAGGGGAATTCTTTCTGATTAATGCTCTTGTCATACTGACTTACTTATCATGGTGGTGTAAACAGCTGGCTCCCCCATGTGGCTCCCCCACTGGCTTGGGCTTCTTGAGGCCAGGGACAGTTTTATTCATATCTGTATGTTCGTTGCTTTGCCACAGTCCCAGCAGTTAATAGCCATCTATCTTTGTTGAGCCAAATTGAAATCAATATCTTTACTTACGAATCAGGCAACTGAAAAAAAAATATATATTTTGTATAGATGATCCATGCCCATGGAACAAAATCCAAAGGGCACTAAAGGGTATGTAGAAAAGGGTAAAGCCTTGACATCTTGTCACCTTTTACGGCAAGCACTACTTTGGTTTCTTGTGGATTCTCCCATAGACGTTTCTTCATGTAACTCCTAAAAGCGAGCTACTTAATGAAACCTACTTCTTCTGTAACGGAGGACCCTGTTATTTCCGGACAGAACATGGAACAGCGTTCCCCTCTCCCTGGCCCTCCCCATTCCCACTTCAGTGCACCTGTTGCAGGGAATTAACACATCACTTAATGAATGTACATACTTGTAAACTTGTCACCTTCAACATGGTCTTTGACAGAAAGGTATTAGAGCCGGATTCGCTACATCTTTTGGAATTTGAAAAGCAGGCCACCAATTGATTTCATGACCTTGTACTCGTTCTGAAAGTACTGCTTACCATTGCATTGACGAGCTATTCCTTAAGCAGTAATACTTTTTAAAAGTGTATTTTAGGAGATTTATGATGTAGAGAAGTCAAGTTTGAGAAGAATTCTATTAGAGGTTTAGAATAGTGTGTTCTTTTTTTTTTTGGCAATTTTTTTTTAATGTTTATTTATTTTTGAGACAGAGGGAGACAGAACATGAGCAGGGGAAGGGCAGAGAGAGAGGGAGACACAGAATCTGAAGCAGGCTCCAGGCTCTGAGCCAGCAGCACAGAGCCCAATGCGGGGCTCAAACCCACAAACTGTGAGATCATGACCTGAGCTGAAGTTGGAAGCTTAACCGACTGAGCCACCCAGGCGCCCCATAGAATAGTGTGTTCATGATTTCACCAAGTGTGATTTGTTACTGGAACACCCATGGCAGGCACAGAAAAATTTAATTTTTAAAAATTTAATTTATTTATT